TTTTACATGTGGTGCAAGCCAGGAGAGAAAATGTTGTCTGCAGTTATATTTTTGAGGAGGTGCATATCAGGCTACATACAGTACGTAGGCTTCTGGGTAGGAACAGGAATATGCGGATCAGGAGTACACATAAGATGACGTATAAATCAGGCTTAACACTTAGAGAGAGAGGAGTTCACCTGAAAAAAAAAGTATGAAACATGTTTTAGCCTTTGATTGAAACTTAAACAAGCTGAAGGACGCACCACATCATCACACAGAGCTGAGAACAACAAACCCAGAGGGATTTAGACCTCACTATCTTTTAAGGAAATCATTACTCCACAATATATTTACAAAGAACTAAACTAGCACCAGCTCAAGCAGCTTCAACAGTAAAACACTAACTTTGATGCATCAATATTAAGAATCGTGTCAAATGAAGATTCAGAAAGATTCCGCAAAGGTTTAAGGAAATAACTTGTAGATAATAAAATCAAAGTACAGCTTGTTAATTATTGACTGATGACGTTAAATTAGGGGCTAGAAAACACAAATGTTGAACTACTTATGTTCCCAGCATGTCAGTGCAGAGCTGTGAGTATCATGTGAACTCATTCATGTGACCGTCACCTCAGACTAAACACATGCTGCTTTTATTCCCTTTATTCACTGTGATGAAGCATGACGCTGCTTTTCAACATTATTAACCCTCAAGAATGAGCTTTTCTATTTAGTAGTTTATATAATTTGTTATCTGGAACAGTCAAGTTAAACACATAAATAGTTCAAACATGTGAAGAAGAGACAGACAAAACCGCTGTTATTAGTTTAAAAAGTTGTTGTTTCGGTCACTGACACACTTAGATTATTATTCTAAGTGTCTGACAACATTACAGAAAGGTCCCCTACAGAGGAAGAGGATTCTTTTTACAAACCACAAACAGCTGTTACATCACTCTGCACTAACACACCAGACTCCATTGACAAAAACAGTCATTTCACCCTCACAAAAACAGGAGTTGTAGGCCTGCCAGTTGCCACTGCCTAAATTTGGTTAGTTTGTATTATTGTCTGTTAAAATTGTTATAATGGAACTAAACTAATTATACAAAAACACCAAGGTTACACTGTAATACAAACATACTTACCAACTTCAGCAGAGGTAGACCAGCAACTTCTGTGTTCTGAGGTTAAAAAAAAAAAGCTCTACAGCTATATAATTGAATCAGGTATTGAATGTAAAAGTTTAAAAAACAAAACAGAAACAGCTGTTACATCCCTTTCTTCAAAGACACCAGACTTCATTGACAAAAACAATGATTTGACCTCACAGAACAGGAGTTGCTGGTCTACCACGGCCTCAGCCATTTAGCTTATTTTTTGTAACTTTGGTGTTTTAAATAGCATAAACATGCTTTATTAAGAAACAAATATACACTCTCCTCAAAGACCCCAGACTCCAGTTAATAAAACCATGATTTTACCTCGCAGAACAAAGGAGTTGGTGGTCAACAGCTTCCCTGTGATTGTGTGGCTTTGGTGATTTAAATGTCTAGGATGGATCTTACACAGTAGTTTCGTATCACACAAGAAAGCCTAACCATCAGCAACTGAGGCAGCTTTGGACCAGAAACACTTGGTGCTCTGTGAGGGTAGATTTTCTGTTTTTGTCCATGGAGTCTGATGTGTATGTAGAGAGTGATGTAGCAGCTGTTTCTGGTTTTGAAAGAAAGTCCCTTTTAACATAAAGGTCTATCTCTGTAGGGATCCTTTCTGTAATGTTGTCAGACACTTAGAATAACAAACAACCTGAACCTGTCAGGGACAAAAACAACAACTTTGATTGGACACACTTTGATCCATCCAGGATTATAGTGCAGGCATTAGCTCCTGTTTCACTGCTGCAGGAAGAAGAAATCTACGGGTGACATTCAAAACTTTTTTGGACCATTTAGACAATTCAATTCTAAAATATCTTAAAACAAGGCCCAGGTTTTAAAACACCAGAATTACCCTGAATGTGCAACTCAGGTACCCTTTGATCTCCTGCCATATACTTTTTAAGTACGAAATTGAAATAAATTCAACCGTAACAGTTTTTCCGCGATCAAGTCTAGTGATGTAGGTATTTCATCATTTGCTTTGATCAAACCTGATGACATTCACAGAAATCTTAACACACAACCTCCCACACACCCAAAACAAACTCATCATGATGAATTAAACTCGACCCAGAACACCCAAGTATCTCTAAAAAACTACATCAGAATTGTCATTTAAATTCTGTCTTTATTACAATTCACAGATTGATAGAAGTTAAAGATAATTTAAATAGTTTATCTAAAGGATACAAAAGACAAACACAAGATTATAGCAATGCATTCCAGTGCATCTTACAAAGAAAAGTCATCGTGTTTCCTGAAGCTCGAAGACGCCAGGTTCACTTCAAATCTGAAAAAAGTGAAGTTCTGTTCAATCTGTTGAATGAATAAATGAATACGTGAATGAATTAAAAAAACCCAAATGAACTTAGTCCAGTTTTGGAGACAGATGGAATGAGCCCAATGTCATGAAATCTGGGTTTTGTGCTCAATCCCTCCCTATAATTTTGTGCTCTTGTATTAGTTTGTGGCGTTTGGAGTTGTAAAAATGTTTACATAAAATGTAGACTGCAGGAAAAGACTCAGATATTACATTTCAAGAATGATTTCAGGGCACTGATAATGAAACTGAGGGATTTTAAAGCAATATATTAATTAAATGTAAAGCATATGAAGCATTGAAGAAAAATAACATTTATATTCAAAGGGAAAATAAAACCATCATTTAGAGAGTGTCAGTGTGAAAATGGACAGAGAAAATAAAAATACACCATTGGAAGAATTGTATAGTTTGTACTATTTATTTAAAGTGTCAAAAGTGTGAAAATGAGACTGAGGGTGGAAAGGAAGAAAAATAGAAAAGATGTGAATCTCTTTTTGCACAGGACTGAAAAACGACAGTACAGTAAAGTACAATAGAGCACAGCAGAGGAAACTAGAGTACTATGGAGCACTGTGAAGTAAATCAGAGCTCTGCAAACAATACAAACAACTTAAAATAGACACTCACAATACCTGTTATTTTTTAACAGTCCCATTTGTAATGTCTGTACTTTGTGTTGTGTTTTTAATGTAAGTTGTGTTTATTGTTTGAGCCTTGTCGAAAGAGAATCACTGTCACAGTTGGGTCAGACAATAAAGTTTATTCTACCAAAATATCAAAGGACAGTTATGTATATTAGAGCTCTGCAGAGCCAGAGTACTACAAAGATGTAAATTCAATGTAAGTTAGAGTACATCAGAGTACATGAGAGTACCATCAAGTACATGAAAGTGCTGCAAAGTACTAAAAGATCCGTTAGATAACTGTAAGGAACATAAAAGTACAGTGAAGTCCATCAGAGTACAGTGAAGTACATCAGAGTACAGTGAAGTATATCAGAGTACAGTGAAGTATATCAGAGTACTGTGAAGTGCATCAGAGTACAGTGAAGTCCATCAGAGTACAGTGAAGTCCATCAGAGTACAGTGAAGTACATCAGAGTACAGTGAAGTATATCAGAGTACTGTGAAGTGCATCAGAGTACAGTGAAGTACATCAGAGTACTGTGAAGTACTGTTAAGAACTGCAGAGTAAATAATATGTATTTATCTAGAGTACTGTAGAGTAGGGATGTCATAATACCAGTTTTTTTAAACTTTGATTTCTTTTTTATCAAACAGTATCGATACCTGTTAAGATACCACGGCAACCAGTATTGGGTTAATTCCTTGTTTTATCTACCGAATCAATGCAGGAAATCTCCTGCACACGGACCTCAACAGACGTAACATATGCGCCTTTTTCTGGAGCTCTGCCGCCCGGTTAAAACAAGTAAGGTGCTCTGCAAAGAGATGTGAACAATGACATCTGTATTGAAAAGTATCAAAATATCCAAACCATTAACAAACTTACACTGGAGAGTTCATTCAAGAACTGGAGGCTGTGAGAGTACTGAGATGACATGAGTACTTCAGAATAAGGTAGAGTACTGATAAGTACTGTGGAGCAATGCAGAGTTCATCACAGAGCTGAGGTACTCAATATTTTGATTCTTTTCGATACCACATGAGAGCCCATATTTGCCCTTTTTGGGGTTCATATATTTAATCTATGTACCTTCTAAAGTATGTTCACAACAGCTAAAGTTTGAAAAAGTGTCTGTTTTCATGAACTGCTGCTCCATGCACCGGCTCGCTTCTGACTCTCTCTAAGGCTCTGAAGTGCCCACGTTCAGAGTCCCCACGTGTGCCAAGTCTGATCTGATTGGTCGGCTGTCGGCTCTGCCGTAATTGGTCAGTCGCTCAACACAGTTCTCGGAAATGTCACGCCCCTTTTACCATATTGGGAATGCAGCCACTTTGGATCCGAGGGGAGCAAAAACATTAGCACCTTAGCACTACTGTGCTACCGCAGGCTGCGGCATATCGTGGGCGTGCTACAGAAGTTAACTGGCGTGCAACATGAGCTGCTGGGCTTGCCACAACGAGCCAATGGGCTTAGATCAGTGATCTCACACTGGCAAGACGTCACACTGGCAAATTTTTTTCGAGGAGGGCTAGAACCGAGCGTTACATGCAGCTAATGCTACAGCTAACAGGAGGACGTAGGAGAAGCTGCGTTTCCGCGGACTTTGAATTTTTGCACACAGATGTGCCTAACATGCACAGGACACTTTTAAAACACACTAAAGAGCATATAAAACCAGAAAAAGCAGAATATGGGACCTTTAAATTATGATTTTAATGATCGATAGTAGCAAAGAGGACTGATGCTTGAAAGACTACCTCTATTCCATTGGACAGGTGTGTAGGAGAAGAATGAGTCCATGAAAGATTGGAGGCAACTCCCACACAATCCGTCTAAATAACATGATTACGTTGGTTGCAGGAGTATGCCTGAAATGTTTAACAATTATAACAATAAATTACTCAATATTGGGTGACAAGGACTTTTATTTTTTCTTCTATTGTCAAGGAGGTATCACTATCAAGTTTAAAATTCTGGTATGGTGACAACCTTACAGTGAAGTAAATTGCATACAGTACAGTACTGGACTTTACTGTGTCGTATGTTTAAGTACGTTAAAGAACTGCAGAATCTAACAGAGCAGTTGTCATTGAAAAGGCCTCAGTAAACTCAAAATAAATCAACTTAAAAAAAACTTCATTAAAAAAGTAAAAGAACAGCTGTCATCAGTAGTTTCAAGCCACAAAGATGTGAAAAGGTCCGAGGTCGCAGCAAAGGATTGTGGGTACTGTTGTCGCTACATGTTGCAGTGTTTCAGGGCTCTTCTTCGTCTTCTTTAAGGCAAAATGCTCTCTGATGGGAGGACAGAACCCCGAGCAGCGACTACACACACACACATACACACACACACACTGAGAGGGCATTCATATGAAGTGTGTACAGCTCTATACGCACATACTGTGGGGCCACCGGTGTTGGTAGAAAGGTCCGGATAGAAAGAGGCCTTTGAGTCTTTAGAAGCAGCAGTTTGATCATCAGAAGTGATGATTGGACTATCACCAGTGTTTCAACATTTACTTACTGTATGTACACATAAATACAGACTCTTCAGGGTTAAATACAGCATTGTCTCTCTCTCTCTCTCTTCACGTCCACAGTCCGTCTGTGTGGTCTGTGTTTCCAGTCTCTGCAGCCCTGCAGTATTGAGGTCCGTCCAGATGGCGGCACTGTGGCACCGCGTTGGGGTTCTGGTCAGCGGGACGGCAGCTGACTGGCCTCCGGTTGGCTCGGCTGAACACTCGGAGGAGCTGAGGTAACAGTGAGGGGGTTGGGGGGGGCAGAGATTCAGTCTGCTTTCTTTATGAAGATCTGAGGGAAAGCAGAGAGAACCAATAAGAACCAGGGGGAGCTTTACATTTACAAAATGTATTGTGAAAAGTCGTTAAAACCTTTTTCCTTTAGTCTACTTGAGGTCAGTCCTGTGCATGTGCATGCTTTTCTTTGTTTGTATTTTAAGTGTCATACATGTTAAGTTGTTTACCCTTAAGAGTCACATTTATTTGTGTGCAATTAACTCCACTTTTCCGTCTGTTTTTAGTTAATAATTATCGTCTTTTTTGTGGGGGTTTCCTGATAAGCATGACTGGCTTGTTTTGTGTTTTCTCCCAAATGCGCTATCAATAAAATAACTCAACAAAACCAGTGAACAGCAGCTACTGTACTGCAAAAATTCAAAACTAAGCAAGTGTATTTGTTTCATTTCTTGTCAAAAATATCAAACTATCCAGATACACATCTTAATTCAAGATATAAAATTCAATCAGGTATCTAACGAATATATGTTTTAATCTTCTTCTGTATATAAATTAAATGAAATAAAACTTAGAAAAGAAAATCTATCAATGGGGTAACTGAACGTTCTCGTTGACATTGCATCTTATAGACACTGAACAAGTTAATGTTGTTTGCCTCTTTGGCAGATATCTTGTACTTCTTATAAGCAATCAAGCCCTTATTTGTTTGCTTTTTAAATCTTAAATTATAAGTTAACTGGACCTGTGGGGTGAATGTGGCTTATAATAAGTTCAATAACATATTTATGAAAATAAATTAGACTAATTCACTTTCTTAGATTTGAGTTCTTGCAGTGTACTTATGATAACACAACACAAGGCCACTTTTTTTAGCACTCAAATATATATATATATTTTTTATTATTTGAATGATTCTGAGGAAAAACAGCAAATTAAAAACGTCTGGCTGAAACCATGAAGTCTTTTTACAATTTTGCTCTTCTAATTAATCATCTGTCAATCATCTAATTGAATGTTCGACTCATTGTTCAACTGTACATGAATAAACCATTAAGAAGGTTTATTTATAAGAAAGACTAAGTTATTTAAAAAAACGACTAAAGCTGTCAGACAATGAAAAAGCAATACAAAAATCAATTTTTCCCTCCTGAGATGTTGTGTAGAAGTGTACATATAAATCAACAATTTTACTTCGACTGAGTATTTGAGTAATTGTACTTACTGTCACAATTATAAAGTCTGACTAATACAGATTTTTAAAAGTTTGATAGCGATCCAGATATTGTAAGATTAAAGTTTAATGTCCAGCTGTCGAAAAAGACGTTCAAATATTCAGTGTTTGCGCCAGAAATGTTCCAGCTGTCAGGATGGAAAATCCTCTCAGACATCATGAGGAGTCTGCAGTAAACCCAGACTAATGCATTCCTTTAAGGGTTAATGTTGAGAGATTTTCCCTTCATAAACCCTCAGAGAGGTCAGGAGTTTATAGTCCTACTTTTTAATCCTTTACAACAACCTTGTTATGTAGGCTTAAATCAAAAACAGTCTCTAATCAGACTCTTGCAGGTAATTTGGCCACACATTTTTTAAGGGTTTATTGAGGTGATTGTGTGAAGCTGCAGGCCAGGGGCTCAAAGATTTGTTCCGATTTTATTGGTTTATTCTCTTAAGAATATCTACCACACCCTTCAATAGTTTCTTAAGCCTTTTATCCTTATAACCAGGAACTTTTTCAAGAACATTTTGCAAATCCTTCATACCCCTCAGGGCACATTTCAGTGGGCTAAAAGATTTCTCTCATACATTAAAAACATCTCCGGGTCTACTGCATCTACTGAAGTTCCACCAGGAGCTTTTAAAAAGATTTAAGTTTCAACTGACTTTCAAGCCGTCTGGAGCTCCACTAATGCCGAGGTCAAACTTCACATTATAAGCACGGTACGATTATAGTCCGATCTGGCAAACGTAGGGTTTTGGGGCCTGTCGCTGCAAAAAATAATCACATCTAGGACACCACATGTCCTCCTGACAGAAAGTCCAGCATCTACAATACATCACGTCAATACAATACGTCAGTGACATTTACCAATGAGAGCAATTGTTCGGGGATCTGGTGGGAGTATTTTGTGATGAGTTTTAAGGTGTTCGAGTGTGAACACCAAAGGATTGGCAGGATTTGAAGGATTGACAGTCCATACCGTCTTCCCTTGTGACCAAATGTCCACAGTCGTTTTATTTTAGGGTTTGCTGAACACAGCCAAGCAAGTATCAAACACACCGCTTCGGATGCCACTGTTTGTTTACAGTCTTCTTTCTGGGTGTAGACTAGCCCAGACACTCTTCCATCCAACGTCATCACGTTGGTCTTGATATTTGGTGTGTCATGTCTGTTGGTTTAATTTAAGGCTCTGTGATCGCCTAATCGGACACAGTGTCCATCGTAACTGACAAAGAGATTGTGTAGTCAGACCTGGGCATAAGACAAACTGGGAGGGGGTTGTTTGGACCACGGAAAACTCTTAACATTTGTAAACATCCAAACCCAAACTCCCAAATTAAAATAAAACAACAACTTTTAATTCCCTACAGACTGAAAATCTTTACAAGCCCTGGAATCTGGACTTCAAGACATCGGAAATGCTTTTGAACCTTTTTTAAGATTACTTTGACTCCAAAGAAACTTGGAAACTTCTTCAGGACCATAAAAGCCACACCAGAGTAGGATGACAAGATGTCCCCGCACAGCATTTCCCTCAGTTATCCTTCAAATTGAAACCATGTTCCTCAATTAATTGGCTCTAGTTTTCCAAAGCGTAGGACAGTCTCCTTTCTAAAACCAGGCTTTATCCTACATCTGTGTAAGAGAAGGCTATCAGCATGGCCTGTTTCAGGTGTCAATCAATCAGCAAACACCTGGGATCATTGTATCACCAACTTGTCACCGTCCTCATGGCCTACGTTACGCCCTGCTGCCACAAAATAAAGACACAAGCTTTCGGGATGCACTTTTTCGGGGAATACGATGGAAACTACATCAAAAAAAGGAGACGAAGCTAAAACAAAGTATTTACTCCTGGGTGAAGCCGTTCTAGGGCGATTTCCAGAATATTTTTTGGAACATTTTCCAGAATTTTGTTTTTGTTTTTTTATCACTCATGGAGGAGAATACGGCTTGAAATGTCACTGCATGCTAGACTCACAAGAAATGCCTGGCTCACATAGAGAAATGTGGATCTAAGCATCCATTCCTCCTGAAACCGAACTAGGACTGCCCAACAGTTAAAAGTTAACAGCAGCTAAAATCACAAACATGCACCACACTGTGCAGTACTCGCAGTTATAGAGGTCAACAGACTGCAGCTTGTAAGCCCCCCCAAAGCCTTTTAAGCCCATTCCTAACAAGCCTTGGAATCTGAACTTTGTGACTTAAAACCTTCTCTGAGACACAACATCCTTTCACAAATGACTTTCTTTCCTTTGCTTATTGTTTTGCACCAAAACACTAAGTCAAATTCCTTGTATGTGTCAATGCAGTTGGAAATAAAAACCGGTTCGGATTCTGACAACTTAGAATGAACCTCTGGGACATCTCCAGTGATGCTGAGAAAAACACAAACTAACCTTGTGTCCTTTACAAAAACTACATCCTCCAGTTGACACCTGTTTTAGCAAAGGCATCTTTGATCTCACCAAGGATCTTTCAAGAAGGACCTCAGGAACCCAAGAGTGATAACATCCCAGAGTACACAACTGTCTATCAAGACTCTGGACCAATTGTCTATATGGAATCCAAGAAACTAAAAACTACAAGGACCCCTTAAACCTTTACACCTTGACTGCACCTTGCAGACACGCTCAACCCTTTCCAGAATGTTTGGAAGAACATGAAGGACTCTTTTAAGAACCAGAGAAACTTGCAAAAATCATGTCTAGCATTCCACTCATGAATGTTTCTGAACAGGCTTCCAATAGTTAAAGAAGTCCTTTAACGCTTAAAAAAATCCATGCATCCTTTACAGTTATCCATAACAACAGACTAGTAAACTTGAACCTGCTGAGCTTCCTTAGAAACCTCCTTAGGAACCCTTATCTACAAGGTTCAGGAAGCTATTTTGGATGAACCCAAGCCGAGCGGTCTCACCTCGCTGAGGATCACCCAGACCGGTGAGTCAGTTATCACCGAGAGACGCATCGCCTCCAGGGGCCCAAAGGTGGGGTCAACCTCCCCCTCTGCAATGCCTTTCTGGAAGTTTCCTGAAAGATAAAAAAGGCGATTAAACCTGATGAGCGATTGGATTTATAAATATCCTGATTGTTCCCTGACTTTCAGGTGGGGGAGGCCTCTTTTTCTGACAGCCGTGTTGTTTCTATTACCATGAACTCCTTGTGACCGCTGTTGAAAACACATGGTATTTGTCACATCCAACTATTTAACTTCTGCCTGTTGAAGAAAATACTGTTACTTTGCTGTACATTTATGAGTTTTTCCATTGCATGCAGTTCTTTTTTTTGTGGTCCTCTTCCTACCCTGTAATGAACCGTGTATCTTTAAATGTTCTCATGATGATTGCTTGTGAAGAACTGAAGGATTAAGTGTTTCTCTGTGTTAAAGAAAATGCTCTTATTTCTTAAAATAAATTCAAGATATTCCATTTAATCCCCCTTGGATTAGCTGGTAATGCATTGTCACCACACTGAAAACAGGGCTGATTGTCTGAGCTCATATAGATATGTGATTCTCAAAAACCACGGACACTAAACAGATATGATGAAACCTATTTTAACTCCCTTCAAATGTCTCTCCTTCTACTTGACCAATGTTTTTGTTGGTTGTAACCTTCACAAATAACAAAACTTTTTTCATCTACATCAGTGAAATACACAGGAAAGCGTTCTAAAACTCTTTATTTTACCAAATTTCAACCCAGGGATTAATAAAGTATTTCTGATTCTTGAAAAATGTCTGAACATTAAGTCATCTATAAATGTGTCTGTCTTAATACAGAACACCTACCATTGTTTTTTAATGGTTTGTAATGGTTTATAATGGGCCTTGGGTTATTATTTATTTATTTGTTGTTTGAGGTGAGTAATTAAAGGATTTTAATGATGTTTGAGGATTATTTTGTGCAGACCTACAGGGTTATAAAAAGCCATTACGTTTGCCCAAAGTCCATTAAGTGTTCCCTGTGGTTCTGTTTGACTGACTCCATCTGAAGCCGTGCCGTCTCTTCCTTCCGCTCAGTGACGGCAGGTTTTTTAGTTCCCCTGCACCTCAACAGAGCAATAATCCCTCAGAGGATTCATTTACTGGGATTATCATGATGCCAGCGACGCCTCCAGGTACGAGTGATACAGTAATCCCAACAAAGAGCAGCGCCTGGCTGTGCCTTATTGTTTTATCACCCAGTGTTATCGATTATTATTGTGGGTCTATCAGATTTAGTTCAGTATCCAGCGACATGTAGACAGACAAAGGAGAAAACAAAACCCTGAGGTTCAAATAAAAACAGGATCACACATGTAGGGTGGGAGGTCTTTGTTTTTTGATTTCATTGGAGTTTTTTTTAATCAAGTTAGTAACTATTTTTTACACCACCCAATTAGTTTGGCATGATTCAATCCCTGAAACTTTCTTTTAACTTTAAATGATACCTCAAAATAGTCTAATGAATACTACACTTAGGTTATCAGAATGTTAGTTACTTGGATACTTGAAGCTAGCACATGTTTTTAAACAATACAATTTCTGTTATTTTAACGAACAAAAGTGTTAAAAAGAACCAAAGATTTTAAAAAAAAAGAACCTCTATTTCATAAAACTGGTCTGTAAGAGAGGAATAAATCCATCAAAAATCACAAACTCCTGACACTGCCTAAATTGCACAAAAACGTTGGCAACCTTTTGTTACTGAAACATTTATGCTATTTAGACATTGTGCCGTTATCAAGCTTTTTTTGATTATTGAAAAAATGAAATGACCTAATATTGGGTTCCGATAACTTTTTTGTTGTTGTTTTTGTCATGTTATCAAACAGGTATCAATGTTGTGAGGTTTTTCCCAGAATCAAATTGAAGTTTAAAATTCTGGTATCGATACAACCCTACTCTGCACAACGGTTTTTGACCTGTTGGACTGCGACAAACTATTTCTGTCCGCTCTTGCATAATGTTAGGTCCAAAATGCCTCCGATAGTCGATCTAATTTCTTAAGTAAGGCCGATCTCAGATACTGAACCGTTTGTTGTTCTGACACAGAACATCCGGAGGCATCCTGCGGAAATTAATAGAGTTAAGAAGAGTCAGCCTGATCGATCGCCCGACTCATCTGAAAAATTAATGAAGGGGATAAAGAGCTGCTGGTAATTTATGATGTCAGATCAAACACTGCCCTCCTCTATTCCTACTGCGCTCCTTCCTTTTTGTTTTGTTTCTTTATAGCTTCCTTCATGCACAAATATCTGCTGTTATTAATTTTTCATTTCTGACTTTTTTACATGAACACCCCAAAGAATGTCAACCCATGTGTCAGTCAAAGATCCACATTAAGCTCATTAGGTAGGGTGATCTTTATACATTTTACAACCTGATACATGGACTATGATATCACATTTTTTACATTTATGGTGCTGAAGTCATTTATTGTTTATTCACGGTGTTGGTTTCTGAAATATGTTCACCCAACTTCTGTCAGCCTATTCAACTTGAATCAGGAAAGAATGGAATGAAATCCTTAAAAAATAAAAAAATAAACATAAAAAATATCTACAAAATGCTAAATGTATGTATGTCTTCAAAGCCACCAAACTCCATTGACAAAAATGGTCATTTAAGCCCTCGAAACAGTGGAGCTGATGGATTACCGATTACTGAACATGTTCGTCAGTTTCTGTTGTTGTGTGACTTTGTTGCTTTAAATGATTATTTCAGATTTGACTAGAAATGTCTGTGTAAAATATATTGACACAAAAGACTGCAGATTGAGGGAGCACTAGTCAAGATACTTCCTGTGTTCGGTGAGGAAAAAAAAAAAACCCGGGAACGGAGAACATCTCCAAAATTCTTTGCAAAGGGGACCAACATAACTGCATTAACAAAACATATAGACATGTGGGGACTTTCTGAATTAGTGTTGCAGTATGTGCATCTGTGTTGTAGCTATTTGCTTTCATGTTGTGGCGTTTGTGTCTGTCATTGTCGTTAATACGTTGTGTTGTTCCCTTTTTTGAAAAGTGTTTTGGATATGCATTAGCCTAACACCTCCGAGCCACCATATAATTCAACTGGAAGTATTCTGAAAGTCCTACCAACCCCCAACCAGCTTTTACAACTACTACTCCTATACTCTTTGTTTCATTGTCACTAAACTACAGCACCGACCACCGACTGTTTTTAATGCTTATTCATGAGAATGTTCCTAAAACTGTGAACTTTACATCATTGTTTAAACTTATAAATGTTCCATGAAGCCCTTCGCACAGATCTGCCTGTGTGTGTGTGTGTGTGTGTGTGTGTGTGTGTGTGTGTGTGTGTGTGCTTCCTCTCCTTGTGAGGACTAACTTTAGTTAGAGGAGTGATCACATTATAGGAGAGATGACGACTGTGTGATGTCACTTTTTTGTTTTAGTTTCTTGAGAGATTAAGGATTAAGGTTGGAAAAATGTTTGTTTTAAGGCTTCGGTTATGAGGTAGAGTAAAATATGAAGTCAAAAAAAAGAGTCCTCACAAGTATAGAAGTTCCTCCTTGTGTTTGTCCTCATTGAAGCAGACAAACAAAAGCAGAGGAATGTTGCCCTGAAAAACTCTCCTCTCTGTTAGCAGACAGCTCGTTAAGCCCGTTAAGCTCATTAGGACAGACTGACTGAACTTTATTGATTATCATGGAGCGGGTCGCACAGGTGCCAAGCAGCTGATGATGTCATCACTCACCTATTCTGATGAATCCGTCTTCTGTCCGATGGTACTTTGGCGTTCTCTCCCTCCCTTCTGTCAAGGCCTCTTTCTCTGCCTGAATATTCTGGAAACCCCCCCCCCACAAACACAATTCAAAGCCCTGTCACAGCCACTTATTACAGCCGCATTAATTACATGATTATATGGGTAACTTGGCAGCAACAAAAGCTGATTTATGGAAGTCCACAGTTGCCAAATTGAAATTGGATTTAGCATGTATTTGCATGTGAGAAAAAGTTTTTCTGGGTGCTAAAATCCCCGTCTGATCCTGACAATGAGGCTGCAACCATTGTCCACGGTGTTTTTCTGCAAATACAAACAAAATAACCCCTCAATCAATCACGTCCGGGTCAATTCCAGCATTTGGTACATTCCCTTTCTGTCAAGATTCTGTTGTTTGTGAATTTGTTTGGGGACTGGTAAAAGTGACCTGCCACTTGTGAATTTGTCTTTTGAAATGTAAATATGTTTTGTACCTTGTAAAAGTATTTTTCGTTTTGTAATTTTATTTTATAAAATGTAAAATTGTTTTTCAAAATGTAAATTTTCTCAAATTATGTAAAAATGTTTCACACTTTGTAATTTTTTTGCCCAGCCACCGTAGAAAAGCGCTAAAGTAATGCTGACAATTTTAGATTGAGATTTTATTAAAAATGTTGACAATGCGAATAAATCCACTGACTCATACTTTTCAGTGTAGTTGCAATTATTATGTTGACACTTTTAAAAAGCAGCTAAAGAAACATTTCTAAGACATGTTTGTGCTTAGTCTGCTGTGCATATTGTTATCTTGCTTTTATTTGCTTTATTTTTGCATTGCTCTTTCTGTGTTTCTTTCAACTTCCATGTAAAGTGACATCTCTTGGAAGCTATTATGAAGATAAACTCATTATCATTATCCTTTTTAATTTTCAAATGACCAAAATGTGCAACCTAGACATGTTGAAGAAATGTCTTTAGGCCTACATGTTACACTATGTATGGTTCTCAATCTCACCAAAAGAGTTAACTCTCAGATGTTGGAAAGGTGTATGTACAGTACCTGTTGCATTTATACCATGTACTGTTTAAGCACCAACAGAAAACAAGTTTCTTTAAATAGTCTTGTTAAACTTTGGACTTATTTTTGAGGGGATTTTTGGTGATTTACAGACAAAATTCTGGGCTTGTTTGAATGTAAGGATGCTTTTAATCTACTGTAAAAGAGGGTAGAAGATGTCCTGAATTATCTGTGGATGAAGCTCATTCTAAGGTCTAAAAACACACAGATTTCTAATTAAAGCTGCTAATACACTGATGAAAACAAACTCTTGAGTATACTCTTGTATTTCTGCCACTTTTTCCCTCCATCCTACACGCTGAACCCGTAAAGTCTGAGGATTTCAGTTGTTCCTTCTTGTTGCTGTTGTTTGATATTCCTAATCTTCTGCATCCTCTCCTCCTGTCAGCCCTTGTCCTCATCCCCCCTCCTTTCCTCTTCTTCTGGTCAGCGTTACCCAGGCAACCTCCTGCTCCATCTCAGTCATGTGTCTGAGCTCGCTGTAAGTGCTGCTTGATGTCTTTGGTCTCTCTTTTATTAGCCTATGCTGAGGTTGATCTCAGCGGGAGCTCCTCTTCCTCCCTGTTTATGTCACTCTCTCCTGCAGTGACTCTTTACTCTTAATCAGCCTTCATCGTACGGCCGAGGAGCAGGTAGACGCAGAGATCCGTCAGTCTGCCTCGTTAGAAACATTACGGATACTGAGGCTAGAGACGCAAGGAGCTGATGCTAAAGTCAGAAGATATGCTACACAGATGAAGAAGAATAACACACCCGATCCTGTTTTTAGGATAAAACTGACTCATTTTAGAAGCTTAATTAGTTCATTTCAATTTAGGAACAATTATTGTAGTTCTGTCATTTATTTTATATTTTGACATCAAACTTTACACTTTTATATTGTTTCTTTGAGGTTTTTTATTTAGTCTTTGTTCCATAACAAGTTCCTTTTTCCTAATCAAGTTAATGCTGTAATCTCTGATACTCTTACTTTAATTTTTAAAAAAAGCAGGATCATTTTCAAACAGCACGTACTATCAGCTGAAGACAGTACATGAATTCAAAATAAGAGCTTAGGAAATGTAATTTTTAAATGCAAAATAATGGAATTTCATAACATGCGATTAAAATGCGATTAACTATTGAAATTTAGCCATTAATTGAGATTAAAAATGTTAATCTTAGACAGCCCTAATTTCAGTCAGTTCAAATATATTAAATTCTGAGATATCTGAGACCGGGGAAAGAGAAGATCCACAGGGAAGGAAACATGGGCTGTTACTTAAACTGACAGTTTGCTAACAAGGTCCAAATTAATTAAAGTTAATTAATCAGTTTTAAAAGAAAAAGAAAAGAAAAGAAAAGTAGCTTTAGTTCCCTCAGTGTACAGAGAAGTTTGAGTTTAAGAAAACGTGCCGGTACATTAAACTCGCTGGGACATAAAACAGTTTGCCTTTCTTACTTTTAAACTTAGTTTGTCTAATTGCTCAATCTTTTTGATTCCCCCCCCCCCCAGACTTCTTTGAGAGGTGTTAGCTTTTAGCCTGTTGAGTGCAATGTGTTCAACATCGGTCAAATAAATGATGGACACAGCTTTGGCAGCTACATCAGAGTATTGTGACTGATCACTGAGTTGAGGAAACTGCTCTGAGCTTTTGGTGTTACACTCACATCGAAGGGCAGAACCTCCACCGATGTGTTGAAAAGTTTGTCTCCTGGATGTTCAATGTTTCCACTCCGAAAGAAATACCTGAAAGATAAAGAGAGGTCAAAAAGAAACACAGTCTTTATACTGAAGTAGATAATAAATATGTTAGCAGCCAGAGGTTGCAGTTTCTCAACAGGCAAGGCAGGCAAACTGCTTGGGAACTCAGACCAGTACACCCATATACTTAAAACCACAATAGGGGCTCAAAATGTGCATAATTTGCAATGACAGTGTGAAACCTCCCAAGGGGGCCCCATCCGGCCTCACTCACTCTTGTTGCTCTGCATACATTATTCCCAGGAAAAAAAGTTGTTCAATGGAAATTAATGGAGCGGAAATAATCTAGTAATTGAGGGAATGCTTCAAGTCTCCTTTACTATTTGAATATCAGGACTTCTGCTTGATCTCGGTAACCTGCTGTCATTACCGACCTCTCGATGCGGACAGGTGTGAAGAACCGTATCCGTATGAAGTCCCCCGCTACAGGTGTGAACGCCCAAAAGAAGTCCTCCCCCAGGTAGGCTTTCTCCAAGGTGAAGTGCTGGTAGGTCTTCAGGCTGGTCGTCACCTCGGCCAGCGGGTTGGCGTGACCTTTATGGAGGGTCTGTTTCCCAAAGTCCTTATCCTGCAGATAAACATGGAGTTTGTTTATGGGATGTGCATTTCATGGAAAATTACTATTCAACAACTACTACTAATGACAATACTGAGTGAAGTAGATCCTTTCATTGAACCTTTTTATTGAGTAAAACAGATCGTTTCTTCAGTTAAGAGATGCTCAGTTAGAATCTTAGCATCTCTACTAATGCTTTCTTCTTCTTTTGATTTTTAAAGGCAGTCAGCTAACTGACGCTAAGATGCTCTTCTGCCACTGTTGGCTATAGTACTGCATTACAACCGGGAACGGGTAAAGAAAATTAAAATGAGAAAGAAGTCGCATGGACACTCAATTATAAATGAAAGACTAAATAATCCATCTGTATTACAAAGTTTATTTATCTGTTGATTTATATTTTCTCTCTGGAATCAGGGAGTTATGATCACATTTATGTTTGTGCTTCCTCTGAGAGTGAACATGAAAACAGAGAGCAATGACCAGAAAATGATTTAAAGTGTTAGTCATTTTAAATTTCTAACAGCGTTTTACACAGACTGGTATCACTGCCAGCCCTGCTTGATGTCCTGATGACTAATCCTGTTTCAGGTCAGGGCAGACACACGGAAAGTAACGGGAGTAAAAAACAGAAACATGCATCCCTGTTGATGTTACTTTAAAGCATATTAAGAGATATTTCATTGTTTTAACGGTTTGTCAAAGAAGAACATCCCATCGTGAGAAAATGCAGCCTACAAAGGTTTAAAAACAGTAACTTTATTTTCAATGTCATGAAGATTGAAATATACTACTCCTTTGAGAAAGAGATGAAAAAACTGACAATCCAATGTTACCTGGTTGTGGGAATGTAATTGTAATTGTGTAATTGTAACATTTATATGTCAAATGTTAATGCACAGGTCTATTTTAAACACCTTTGGGACACTTTTTTGTTTCTTGACAACTGGTGGTGGAATGATTAATGCTAACTGTGACATGTCTATTCATCAGAAAAACCTCTCTCCGGAGACGTATGAGAGCCCTCATGACCAAACATAAAAACTAATCTGACTTTAGCAGCGGTTCAGATGATGTTTTTATGATTTTTTTCACATTTGATTCATAATTTTTGAGAGATAAAGGGAAAAAAATTTATGGTGACAATAATTTCAGTGTTCAGTTTTAAATCAGTCTTCAAAAACAAAAAAACCTGGACAGACGTTTTCCGAGGTTGATCGGAGTGGTTACAAGATTTTCAAGGATTCAACGCGTTTATCATCATTCTGGTTTAAGAGATACAAATGTGTGAAAAATCCTCTGCAGGGAGGCTCCTTCCAGAAAGTGTGAAGTAAATGTTCATCAGAATCAGAATTTCTGGATTTATTGCCAAGTAAAACTAAATACACAATGAATTTGACTTGGTGCTAAAACAAAAAAGGTAGAATAAAGAAGTAAAAAAAAAAAAAAGCTATACAAATATCAGTTCTCCTAATTTTAGGGAATTTAACAGAACCCACCAGTGTCACCCCTAATTGTGCATTTAATCCACATGTTTCCGCTCTCATGCTACGAGTTTGTTGTGTTCATTGGAGTGAACTCGTCCTAGCGTTTTCCATTATAGTTTACCAGTGTATGATTTCTGCCTGCTTTTTGACCCTGCCTTTCCCTGAGCCTCTGGATTTTGTTGCCTGTTTGATCGGACTTCTTAAGTACTGAATCAACCTGCCTGATTTTACTCTGCCCCTGTGAAGTCGTGCCTTTGAACCCACTGAGTGTAACTCATGTCAGGTTGAGAGTTTGCAGCGAGACATAAAATAATGAAATATGAATCAAGATAGAATAAGATCCAGGAATAACAGGATTCCGAAAAAAGAAGAAAGCACATTAGGTAAATGTTCTTGAGCGTGTGGAGCACTTTTCTAGTCTTCTGACGACTCAAAGTGCTTGTACACCGCAGGTCACACCTTCACATTCACACACTGATGGCAGAGGCTGCTGTGTAAAGTGTCCATCAGTATTAACTTATCCATTCATACACATTCACGCACCACCGATGAAACATCAGGAGCAATTTGTGGTTAAGTGTCTTGCCCATGGACACATCGGACATGTAGCTGCAAGAGCTGGGGATCAAACCCCCAACCTTCCGGTTGGTTGAGAGACTGCAGACTCTACCGCTGATCCACAGCTGCCCCATTTTTGTCACATATTTGGATATTTTTAACCAATACTCTGAGATGGGAAAATGCAAAGTAGTCGGACACTATCAGAAATAGAGGCGTTTGTTTTCAGCGGTTGGTTGAGAGACTGCAGACTCTACCGCTGATCCACAGCTGCCCCATTTTTGTCACATATTTGGATATTTTTAACCAATACTCTGAGATGGGAAAATGCAAAGTAGTCGGACACTATCAGAAATAGAGGCGTTTGTTTTCAGCTTCAGGTTAAACTAAGATAAACAGCTGTTATGGCCTCCTTTGCTATTTTATTTTTTTACTCCTTAACAAATTTTGCAATGGAAAATGTAAAAATAAATTTGTTCTGCAGGGTGCCATTAATCCCTTCATCTGACACTGACCCCGTGGCAGCAATTTCAAATATGAAAGATACAGAAATATAAACAGATATTCTGGTTGTTGGCCATAAAGAGGCTTTAGAATTAACTTCAGTCTGTTTCAGAAGCTGATAAAAAAAACTTCTCACAGGAGATTTAGCTTTAGATTTTAGGAGGTTTGCAACAAATATCTTTAGAGGATACATAGGCCTAATTGATTTCAAAAGTTCACTCCTGGAATTATTATTATGGACTATTTCAGAGTAGTTTACTTAACTCTAGAACAACTCTCTACAAACTTAATCTAAATCTCACTTCCACTTAGATTTTTTCCATTTCAGGTTTGACCATTTTAGACTATGCACTGATTTTCTTACTAAAGGAGGGTGAACATTTCAGGTTGGAGGGTAATAGCTGTGTTTGGCCTCCCATGCAGCCCGGGCCTCTGTGGTTCAATCCATGCATCGAGGAGCTGCTGGTGTGTGACGGCCGGATCGATATCCAATCGACGGGAGCAGATTGCTGCAGCAGTCACGGGGACTCTTAACACAGTGATCAGAGACGAGACGAGACGAGACGTTCGCTCTCACCGCACTGATACTCTGCAGTCTGGGCCTGAGCCGACGGCTGCAGAGGCTTTCAATCTTCATGTCTCCAGAGATGCTGGACTGAACTTCCACTGAACCTGTTTTATTCCTCTAAACCCCCCCCCCCCCCCAAAAAAAAACACCTTCACACTGACAGCTCACCAGTTCAACCAGTGTTTGTGTTGCTGCAGAGCTTTAAACTTCAGTCACAGCTCAAATATGTCACACAACAACACAGAATCAGTGGAAATGCATTCATACTGGATGAGTCCGCAGCCCGCATTTGCATAAAGTGCCAACAATCAGAGCCACAGCAGGAAACAGCGTCTCTGTGATGAAGTGTGGAGGTGGTGCATGGTTGTCAGGACAGTTTTTTTTTTTATCCTGCTTTAAAAGCTTAACTAATGTTTGCCTTATTAACCTCAACCTGGATATTTTATTAATCTTTAGTGTTTTATTGGCATGATGTCAAGTCCTAATTTACACTCGTGTTTAAATGTATGCTGTAGTCTAGCCTTAGGTTTGCAGAGCTGTGCCTACGCTGAAGCCTACGTGCAGTATGAAGCCTACGTGCAGTATGAAGCCTGCGTGCAGTATGCAGCCTGCGTGCAGTATGCAGCCTGCGTGCAGTATGCAGCCTGCGTGCAGTATGCAGCCTGCGTGCAGTATGCAGCCTGCGTGCACCTCTTTGAATAAATAACTACTGACTTCAGTAACTAATAACGCAACCGCATGCCCTGTGATTGGACCACTGCCCTGTGATTGGACCACTGCCCTGTGATTGGACCACTGGGTAGCACCATGTCCTCCTCTCTTTGACAGGATTGAGATTTGGTTTTTGAAATGATATAAAAGATGTACTGTTTAATTTATTTAACCCTGCAAAGGTTGAATGATTGTTAAATATGGTATATATACCTTTATTTGTCATATAAAAAAATGAAGTAATGTTTAAGTAATTAGTTTTAAAAAGTAAGTTAAGCTGTCTACAGAGGAAAGAGACTAAATCTTGTCTTGACTTTTTTAAGCAAGCTGAGCTGCACATTTTACATGCTCTTATTTATTCTGTTTTTACTGAGTTGTTTAATTAGTTTTTTTATTGTGTTTTTAATGTCTTTAATTATTATTGTATTATTATGTATTGCAATATGATTTTTCAACAGCAAGTTTGCATATAAAATGTGAAACAGTAAAAGTAACTACATTCCAGCAGAAAACAACATACTGAATAACTTCAAAACATTAAGTCTAAGGTTTTCAAGTTTAATGTGGCTTTAAATCAAAATGTAGTACACACACACACACACACACACACACACACACACACACACACACACACACACATACACAGACACACACACAGACACACACACAGACAGACACACAGACACACACACACACACACACACAGACACACACACAGACACACACACAGACAGACACACACACACACACACACACAGACACACACACAGACACACACACAGACAGACACACAGACACACACACACACACACACACACACAGACACACACACAGACACACACACAGACAGACACACACACACACACACACACAGACACACACACAGACACACACACAGACAGACACACAGACACACACACACACACACACACAGACACACACACAGACAGACACACAGACACACACACACACACACACACACACACACACACACACACACACTACCTTGAGTTTCTGTATTTTCCCGGCGAGAGAGGAGTGCGTGCCGACGTGTTGGAAGAGAGAAGGTTTAAACCGGATCCTCAGGTTGGCTTTCTGTCTGTCACAGTGTTTCTGCAGGACAAACAAACAAACAAACACACAGAAGGAATTACAGACACTGTAATTAACTTTTTAAATCCCTCAATAAAACACAACAAAAACTTCGCCGCAGAATACACACACTGTCAGTATTAGCAAACAGCTTCGACAGGAATGCAACGTTAATCACACAGCTGGAGCTTTTTCAGTTGCTAATCCACAAATGTGTGCAGGTGTGAGGGGGGAAATGTAGGTGTGTAAGAAAAAGTATTAAGAGGAGGAACTCACTGCATCCTTCTCTGGATTGCACACTTTGACCCACATGATGTGGTCGAGCAGCCAGTCGATGGGTTTGTCTTTGTAGAACATGAGCATGAACTCCACGATGAGCGACAGGTCCAAAGACTTAAACATCTTACCTGTCAGACAAGACGACAGCTCAGGTTAATTAACTCAACTTCAAATCCCGTCAGCAAGCAGACAGAAAACGTTCCTCCTGCAAGTCTATTTATCAACCTTTGAAAGTGCCTCATTACCTTAAAATATAGATCGATTTGCACATTTCATTTACATCTGATGTTAACTGTCTCGTTTACATGACTCATCGGGGACATCTGTGATGTGCACCCTGTCAGCAAGGAGCATTGATTAGGGAAAGGCTGCTGGTTTAAATCCCACAGCGGTTTGAAAGAGTGTGTGAAGAAACATGTCAGAATCAGAAGCATGGCGTCAATGAGCCGTGACCTGACCGATTCAAAGACTTTGTTTTGTCGGCTGATAAATGTTTGACCATCACAGTCTTCAGAACAAACGTGTGTTTAACTTTCTGCTCAGAGATCATAGCAGCCAGAAAACCCTGTGAAATAACTAGTCACTGTTTTTTTAAACCCGTGTCATGCCTTTTTATTTCACGCTAATTGATGACACATTCTGATATCTGATTAAGTGAAAAGTATTAGACGCCCCTGAAAAGGTAAATGGAGGATTATGTGAAGGGCCCGACTACACAACCCTCTGCAAAGAGAGGTTATTCAAGAGGCTATTAGGCTTATGGGCAGCAGCTTTCACATGAGCATTTTAAACCCACAGTTTAAAGCATTTATCACACTTCAGAGCATATGTGTTTTTTTTTGGTTTTGGGAAGACTAAATTGAAGCTCTCACGCCACACATGCCTTTTCTCACGCTTACTTTTTTTTTTTTTGTGTAACATCATCTGTTTGAATGTTTTAACCAAACAGTCTATGTTTAGATCTTTCAACCGGACGTATACAATAACAATTATTGCGCTGCGCGTGCCTGCAGGGCGGCCAATCGCAATGATTTTTAGGGTCGACCCAAGAAGGAAAAGACTGTTGTTTCCTAACAAGCAGAATAAGAAGAAAGACGGGGGTTGATTAAAATAAGTACAACTACTCCTTAACCCGCCACCCCGAAAACAACCTCACTCCCAGCTGAGATCAAGAGTTGGCAGCGCTGTGTTAGCAGCTTTCAGAGGAGCCTTAAAACTTAGTTTTAACCAACCTTTTGGAAAGACCGCTTTAACATTTCAGAAATGTGACAATAAAAATCTGAAATCTTGAAGAAAAAGCAGCTACTATTGTTGCAAAACTGAGATTGGAAAGATTTCAGCCAGATGAGGATTTTAGCAAAAAGTCAATCAAAAATGTTCTTAGTTCTTGATCCAGGATGTAAAAATAACCCGATTTAAACAGCTAAATGAAAGGGGAAACCCTGGAAGTTGTAGTTTCTTTCTCTCCCAGCAGACTTCTTGTATCTTTGTTATCAAAAAGAAAACAGATAGTTTCTAACTCAGTTGTTTATCTTTTATTACAGACTTGTATCTCCATCGCTGACACTGAACCAGACTCTCTCTGCAGGAAGTCTGGACGCCTGTTGTCATTTTTCAGTCAGCTTGTTTCTGATCTTTCTGAACACAGCGTCGAGTTGAGCTGAAAGGTCAGAATGTGAACCAGGCAGACCTTCTCAATGACGAGGTTGAATTGAAAGGTCAACAGGAAGCTCGAGTCCTGCTCCTTCCCGCCTTCAGCGCCGCCCTGATCCATTTGGACGTTTCAGCCTGTGCAGGGCTGATTGCGCAACGAGGCAACAGAATTAAAATCCTCCCCCGCAGACATAAATGAGGCTAAACTTAGCAAATGCAAAAGCCGAATTTGAACAGTTGAATTACAGAGAGGCCCCGCAGCGCTGCAGCTCGCTCCGCCGTCTGATGTAATTCAGTGAGTCAGCTCCACCCTGATGAATTTGTGAAAGCAGCCGCTGTTCGCAGGCGACTCAGGGTCGCGGAGGATTCGTGAGGTCAGATGTGAGAAGCAGAGGGAGACCGAGGCGGCAGAGGAGAAGGAGGAGGAGGAGGAGGAGGAGGAGGAGGAGGAGGAGATGCTACCGATGTTCAGACAGTCCAACAAACATCATCCAGCTCAGAGACAGAACTCCTGCTGAGCTCCATCACTTTATCCTCCGTCTAAATTCACCTCCATCGCTCTCCAAATCACTCCCTCTCTCTCTCTCTCTCTCTCTCTCTCTCTCTCTCTCTCTCTCTCTCTCTCTCTCTCTCTCTCTCTCTCTCTCTCTCTCTCTCTCTCTCTCTCTCTCTCTCTCTCTCTCTCATCTCTCCATCAAATCCAGTTTCAAACAAACCCTGCTGGCAGAGCGACAGGCTGTGTGATGCCAGAGATTGGATGAAAAACATGGGCAGAATATTGTGATTCAGATCGGTTCAGAAAACAAACAGAGCGAGTGAGGGAGACAGCTGCAGCTCCTCTCAGCTCTGTACTGATCGATGACGGGAATCACTGGACGATAATGACTGAAGTCATGTCTGCAGCGAACTTCCGGGAAATCTTTATAGTTTATTTGGAGAGAGAATATGAGGTGCTTTATGGAGCTTTTCTTCAAGTCTACAACTCGGTGAAGCTCTTTTTAGGAAGTTGAGAAGGAATGTTAAAGGGCTACTATTTGTAAAGGTGCGCCATATTTCTTTAAATGACTAATAGCATGGGCATCAGAAGCATAATTAAATGGATGGGACAATTCAATGGGGGGTTGGGGGGGGGTCTGGGCATCCTCCCCCAGAAAATAGTTAATTCCATTTCTTGCATTCTGATGCATTTTAACATGTTTTGATATTTTCTTCTGGCTATAGCATGAGACACATTTTATAATTGTATGCAGATGAAAGTGGTTGACCTTTGTCTGATCTAATATTAAAAAACATGAAGAAGCTAAAAGTACAGGATGATGTTTCAGACAGTACAGTCTGTTGATCTGCTGCAGGGTGAAGACATCTCCTGGAATAATTTAAAAAAACCCTCTAAAGCTTTGAGTCATTAAGACCCCAAAATGTTTCAAACAGGTCAATCATGTGATTTTATGAAGTGCAACAACATGAGCTGCTTTTTATTTTGCTTCTGCTTATCTCTGAATTTCCTTCTTTTTTCTTTTTTTTTTACCAGAAAGAATAAAAGGTGTGTATCAGGAAACAGCAGAAGAGGAAAAGGAGAGGTGTGTAACCGACAGACAGGATGTCTGGCACCTCTCCTCCAGCATGTTGAGACAGAAAATGAGATGAGGAGAGAAAAGGTGTGCACACTCTTGTTTCTCTATCTTTGAGAGGACCAGCTCGATTTTTTTTTTTTTTTTTTTTTTTGAGGTTGAAAGTGAGGACTTTTTTCTCTCTCTGTAAAGTCACTTCTTCAAAGAGCTGCTTAAAATAGAGCTTTGAATTTTAGGGCTTGGGTTTAAATTATGCCTGATGTCCAAATGATGAGTGTGCATCTCACTGAAGCTTTTTGAATCTTCTGGAGTGACTAATTTCACACAGTCATAGACGTTATTTCAGCAAGAAGCAGACGTGACGACATGGACACAGCACTGTAACAGACATGGAGCTCTCTCTGTGATTGAACATGTCTAATGTTTGAATGCTATGTGAGACACTAGACAGATCAGTTTACTGTATGTTGGGACACATTTCAGCACCATGGACAGAGCGCCAAGGTTAATTTATGGCTTTTAAATATTTTGTAAATCCATACTGTAATCTCAAATAACAACTGCTGTGTTAACAAGAATTGTTCAAAAAAGAGCTAAATAAAGGGCAGGTGTTGTGGCACAAAAAAAGGTAAATTTTGCTGAAGTTGCAGAGTATTAAGGTAAGGTACATGAAGGCTGCTTTAAGTTGAAAATACTTCAGTTCACACTCACACTGCTGCACTAAGTGAACTCCTTCTGACGTCACGCACACAGCTGAGTGGAGGTGGAGGGGATAAATACAGCAGCGAGCTTTGGGACAAACTCCCCTCATTCACACGGAAACAGGAACTTTATATAGTGATGAAATTATGTCACTCAAACAGCAAGTTGTCCACGTGAGTAATATTATGTAGACTAATTTAAATCACTTCACAATATGAGAACAAAAACGTACATATTTGGTGACATTTTTTTCCATATCTTATCATTTCTAATGTTTATAAGATGTCCCTGTAACCATGACACCTCACAGTCGAAAAAACCCCACATATACCTTTCAAGGCTAAAAATTGAATGGAGTGGAGTGGAAGTGTGTCGACAGAGGGAGTAGGGAGTGGTATGAGAAAGGCACTCAGTCTGACCCTGGACTTATTTCACCATCACCATCAGCAGCCGTAAGCACGGTGACCCTGAAGGTCAACTGCAAAAACATTTCATGAAACCCAAAAATATTTCATAAAACGCAAAAGACATTTCACAAAATGTTTGTTTTGTCATTACTGCAAAATCATTTCAGAAAACGGAAAGGGTATGACCACACTTCCTGTTTGTAATTGGTCAAACTAAAGTCTTCAGTAACAGTCGTGCAGTGTGTCACTTTCTGTTTATAAAGGCTGCAGAACTAGTTCGCAACCACCTGGTGTTTCATCCAATAATTTGCATTATGTGACACTTTTTGGCTTTTAGAGAGACGTTTTTTGCACTTACTGAAATGTTGTTGCGGTTGAACTTCAGGGCCAGCATATGAAAACCCTTCAATATATTATTTATTCGGATCTGTGCAATATGGAATCTAAACTGACTAGAAATGAGACAAATACACTTGGCAAGAGCTGAGTTTTTACAGTGAAGGTGTGAGGTCAGAGGCAACATCAGCTGGAAAACAAAAACTGAGATAAGTTTGGCTCACAATATATTTCCTTTTTTTAATAATCCTGATTACCACCTTGACTTTATACACATCAACATTTCTCCCATATTCATTTCCGGTTTCACTTTTAGCACTTTGCTTCTAAAAGGTTTGAAGCTTTCTATTCGAGCAGCTCCGCCGTGCGTGTGTGTGTTTGTGTGTTTGTGTGCATTATTCTGTAAATATACTGTTTTGTTATATATTTGTTTAGTGTCAGGAATTAAACTAAATCAAA